ATTATTATTTTTTTACATAGCCTCTTCTAAACTCAGCTTTATGTTTCTGGCATTCCTTGTTGTTATACAATCCCAGTAATTTTTGAATCATCTTCAGCAATATTTTGCTTGCTGATAATAATGGTATTGTTCGATAATGTCTGCATCCTGCAGATCACTTTTTTTTTGGAATAAGAAGAAAGGAATGAGATGCTAAAGTAAAAGAGCTGAACAAAATATTTTGAAGGATAGTTAAAGTAAAAAAAAAGGAGATAAAGTGTTATAATGAGATGTGCAAACAAATAGAGTCCGAGAATAAAAAGGGAAGAACCCACTTTGCATTTATCAAGCTGAAAGGAGTGAAAAACAAATTCAGCCCTCAAGTTGCAATACTGAAAGGTGCCATTGGAAAAATCTTGAATGATCAAGGAAACATTAAAAGAAGATGGAAGGAATACACAGAGTCACTGTACCATTACAAATTGGTTGACACGGAAAAATTTCAGAAAGAACCGTATAACAAAAGCCAATGATAACAAAGGAAGAAGTTGAAGCTGTGCTGAAGACACTGGCAAAAAATAAGGCCCGACAGCAAGAGAGATGCAAGTCAAAACCATAGTGAGATACCATCTCACTACAGTAGCAGTGGCAAAGTTTAGCAGGACAGCAAGCAACATAAGTTGGAGAGAATGTGGAGAGGTGGGAACTCCCATACACAGTTGGGGGGACTGCAAAATGGTACAACCACTCTGGAAGGCAGTTTGGCATTTCCTCAAAAAGCTGAACATAGAAACTCTGTATGACCCCGCTATTCTACTGCTAGGAATATTCCAAGAAAATGAGAAATGAGACTCAAATGGGGATTTGTATCCCAATGTTCATAGCAGCATTATTCACTATTGCAAGAACATGGAAGTAGCCCACTGTCCAACCACAACAAAATGGATTGAGAAATTGTGATACATTCACACAGTGGAATGCTATACAATGTTCAGGAGCAATGATTTTGAATAATACTACATAACTTGGAAGACTGGAGAGCATTATCCTAAGTGAACTAACTCAGTCTTATAAGGTCAAATACTGCATTAAGACTTCTATTGTGAAAATAGAAGAATAACTAGTAAAATGTGTATGGGGGTCCAAGGGCAGAAGGGGTGGGAGCATAAGGGTGATGGTGGCCAGGGGGTAAATCATGGAGTTGAACAATTTGGTGAGTGGAGGAAGGAGGTAAAGGAAATGAAAAAAAAATCTAGTGAGGACCTGAAAAGATGAGGTAATGGTGAACATAGTTCAATCATGATTAATTTTGTAAAACTCAATGTATGGTGATGAAGGAGGAAATTCAAGTTGCTCTGCTCTGCGGCAATTGGCAAAAAAACAAGGCCCCAGGGATTTATGAAATATCAATTAACATATTTCAGCAAATAGATGCTGCCCTGGATATGATCACCAGATTATGCCAAGAAATCTGGAGGACAACTGACTGGAAGAGACCTGTATTTGTTCCCATTCCAAAAAAAGGTGCCCCAACAGAGTGTGGAAATTATTGAACAGTATCACTAATATCACATGCAAGCAAGATCGTGCTGAAGATTATCCAGAAGCAATTAGAACAGCACATCAACGGAGACGTGCCAGATGTGCAGGCTGATTGAAAGTAGACAGTACCAGAGAAATGTCTATCTGTGTTACGTTGACTATGCACAGGCATTTGACTGTGTGGATGACAACAAATTGGGGCTAACTTTGAGGAAAATGAGAATGTCAGAGCTCTTAAATTGTGCTCATGAGATGCCTATACTTAGACCAAGAAGCAATAGTTAGAAACACTGCATGTTTCAGTATCAGGAAAGGTATGCCTCAAGGATGCATCTTATCTCCATACCTTTTCAAACTATATGCAGAACAGATCTTTTGTGAGGCTGAACTCTTTGAGAAGGAATGGGCACCAGGATTGGAGGAAGACTCATCAACAACCTGCATTTATACAGATGACACAGCCTTGCTTGCTGAGACTGAAGAGGAGATGAGGCATTTGCTGCAAAACATCAAGGACTGTAGTCTTCAATATGGATTGAAGCTCAGCATCAAGAAAATAAAGATTCTCACCACTAAGCAGCATCATAATGAATTAAGAAGAAACAGAGGTAGTTTATCACTACAGTTTGCTTGGTTCCACAGTCAGGAAATAAAAAGACATATTTCATTGGGGAAATCAGTTGTCTGGGACTTCTCTAGAGTACTGAAGAGAAATGATGTCAGCCTAGAGACTAAGGTGTTACTGATCCGGGTCATGGTCTTCATAATTACTAACTATGTATCTGAGAGCTGGACAATAACTAAGGATGATAAAAGAAGATTCGATACCTTTGAGTTGTGGTGCTGGAGAAGAGTGTTAAACATAACATTGACTGCCAAGAAAACAAACATATCTTTCCTAGAGAGGATGAAACCAGGTTGCTCCCTGGAGGCAAGGATTTTGAGGTTCTGTCGCACGTACTTTGAGTACTTGGCCAGGAGGATCAGTCTTGGAGAGGGACACCATGCTTGGAAGGGTGGAGGGACAGTGCAGGAGAGGAAGGCCCAGGATGAGATGGATTGACTCAGTGACTGGAGAAATGGGATTTGATCTATTGGATATGATGAGATTGGCTCAGGATAAGCAAGTTTCAGAGCTATTGTATATAGGGTTGCTATGCATCGCAGGCAACTCGATGTCACATAAAAATAACAACATGAAAATGATTGTATGAAATAAAATGTCAATGAAGGAAAACATAGCGGGGGAATCTTCATTTAAAAAAAAAAAGTGCTCACTCCCTCGGCTCTTTCGGGCAACATGGCGGGCGTGGCGGAGGCAGCGACCTCCGGGAGCCACCTGAATGGTGACTTGGACCCAGACAACAAGGAAGAGGGAGCTGCCTCTACGAATGAGGAGACGGACAAGAAAAAAAGACGGAAGAAGAAGAAGAGTAAAGCAGGGCAACAAGAAACTGATAAAGAATCAGCTTCATTTGATGAGGTAACAAAACAATTGGGGAAACAAGCATTGGAAGAGAAAGAAAGAGATGATGATGATAAAGATGGAGATGGTGATGGAGATGGGGCAGCTGGAAAGAAGAAGAAGAAAGGACCAAAAGTTCAAACAGACCCTCCCTCAGTTCCAATATCTGACCTGTTTCCTAGTGGTGTGTTTCCCAAAGGACAAGAGTGCGAGTACCCACCCACACAAGATGGGCGAACAGCTGCTTGGAGGACTACAAATGAAGAAAAGAAAGCGCTGGATCAAGCTAGTGAAGAGGTTTGGAATGATTTTCGAGAAGCTGCAGAAGCACATCGACAAGTTATAAAATATGTTATGAGCTGGATCAAGCCTGGGATGACAATGATAGAAATCTGTGAAAAGTTGGAAGATTGTTCACGCAAGCTAATAAAAGAGAATGACTTAAATGCAGGTCTGGCATTTCCTACTGGGTGTTCTCTTAATAAATGTGCTGCCCATTACACTCCCAATGCTGGTGACACGACAGTATTGCAGTATGATGACATCTGTAAGGTGGACTTTGGAACACATATAAATGGTAGGATTATTGACTGTGCTTTTACTGTCACCTTTAATCCCAAATATGATATGTTATTAAAAGCTGTAAAAGATGCCACCAACACTGGAATAAAGTGTGCTGGAATTGATGTCCGTCTGTGTGACGTTGGTGAGGCCATCCAAGAAGTTATGGAATCGTATGAAGTTGAAATAGATGGGAAGACATATCAAGTGAAACCAATCCGTAATCTAAATGGACATTCAATTGGACCATATAGAATACATGCTGGCAAAACAGTGCCCATTGTGAAAGGAGGAGAGGCAACAAGAATGGAGGAAGAAGTGTATGCTATTGAAACCTTTGGTAGTACAGGAAAAGGTGTGGTCCATGACGATATGGAATGCTCCCATTACATGAAAAATTTTGATGTTGGACATGTACCAATAAGGCTTCCAAGATCAAAACACTTGTTAAATGTCATCAATGAAAACTTTGGTACCCTCGCCTTCTGCCGCAGATGGTTGGATCGCTTGGGAGAAAGTAAATACTTGATGGCTCTGAAGAATCTGTGTGACTTGG